ACATGTACATTATATCATACATTATTATATTCGTGTACATATACTCACCTAGAGGTTGATACTTTTCTCTTACTACTCATAGTTCTTTGATTCTCGTTAGAACTATCATGTATCCATTCATCAGAATCACCCCCGACTTCTCCTCCTCCTTTTATCTCAGTAGATGATGGCTAATTATTACAAAATAAAATAAACTAATTTAAGTTTAAAATACCTTTAACCAGCTTAAACCGATTGAGCTCACTCTGTCATCTCCTCCTTCTCCTCTTGTTGTGTTTCTGTGTATAGTATGACTGCTGTGGTCTAGTCTAGATCCAGTGCTGTCAACAGGCTGGATAGGATTAGCATATGATCTACCAACTGATGCTGAAGAACTTGCTGAAGAGAGGGACTGAATAGGAGAAAAGGACAAGTATGAAATGATACAGTATGCCTCTCACTTCTTGTAAGAATTTATCAAATTCTGGATCAGACTCAGTGTCAGTCATCTTTTGTTGCTATGTTTTTTTTTATTGGGTGTGGTGTGTTTTTTAATTGTGGTTTTAATAGCGGAAATTATCGTGCCTAACTGCCTACCGGGGTATTTGGTTTTGGATCAAAAATGGCAAGTCGTCCAAGGGCCCTGTAAGCTCTAATACCACTTTTCTTGTTTTTATCTTTTGTATTTTTTCTCCTAAGTAGACCACAACCGTTCCCTTCACCCACTCCAGCAACAGAACCTAACCAGCCTCTCAATGATCTAAATATGGTAGTAGGACGACCCATGGGATTGGGAATCCCGTCGGCTAGTTTGCCAGTAGAACCATCTATGGAGCTTGAGCCACTAGTGTCTCCGTCTCAAAACTCTCCTACCCCGAAAGGTATTTTTATAGCGTAGAGCACTGAATGGAAAATGTGAATTATTTCTTTTAATTATCTAGGATATGATTTTAACTTGGGTTCCTTGAAAAAAATTATCAGAGACCAAAAGTTGACAGCAAAAGTGAAACCAGCACTGATATCATTTCTTGGCATACCGCCTGACAGTGGCCAGACCAAGGCAGTAAATCATATTCTTGATCGCTACATAAACAAAGTCAAGCCTCCATTTGCATTAACTCCTGGTCTAGTAGGGGAAGATGTGACTACAGCTGAAGGTATCGAGTACCACGAATTGGTAGCAGCTGGTTTTAAGTCTATGAGGAGTATTTACATTAGTGAAGTAACAAAAGAGTCTAGCTCTGCTTTTGGCATTCTCTCTGCTTTTAAACAAGGCCTTATAGAGGAAAAGAAATTACCACTTTTTGATATATCCGTTTCTCAATCCTCACAAGAATTTGAAAACAAGCAACTAAATGAGCATCTCATCCATACTTACCAGTATCTATCTGCTCAAGAGTCAATACCTAAAAAAGATACGGAGTCTCTTGAAGATGTAGAAGAGCTTACCGAAAAGGATCAAGATTATGCAAAGAAACTTAAAAAGCTTCTTCCAGAAGGGATAGCTCTTGTTATTATGTGGGATGTTGCTCTAAATAAGACCGTCCTTCATTTCCTAACAGCTCTTCGTGGTCACCTTTACAACTGCCATCCCTGGCTGTTCCTTGACCTTCAACGAGATCTTGACAAGCTTCATTTACCACCTAAAATACCACGTCCAACTTCATTTACTGGAGATGGGAAGGAGATAAGAGATGGTGCACTGCTCATGAAGTGGAGACCACGCCTTCATTATTTAATTCGTTCTTGCAGATTAGGAGAAACTAAGGAAAAGAAGAGGAGAAGAGTTTGTACTGTTTTTGCTAAGCATGATGGCACCTTTAATGGAGAGATGCAAGAGAAAATGGATGAGCTTGAGAAAAAAGTACAAGCAACAGCAAGACACATTGGTGTGTCATCATTGCTTGAAGAGAAAATTGTGCCTGTAAACTTTTGTAGTGCAGGTCAGATGGATGATGCGCATCAAATGGATGATGATTACTCATTGCGTCTTAATCAAAAGCTCCATCAAGTAATCTGTGAAGCATCTTATGAAGACATTCCTATTGCCTGGGTCTTTCTACGTAGCTTATTCTATCGTAATGAGAAATGTGTCATTGCAAAAGAAGATCTTGAAAAAATGGCAGAGGAATGTGGCATGGATAAAAGTTCATTTGCAGGATTTTGCAAGTTTTACACATCTTTTGGGAGTATTTTTGATCTGAGCCTGGTCGATGAGAAATGTCAAACTGTTGCTGTTAAGCCAATGGCCTTCCTGCAGTTACTTGATTGCCTTTTGTATCCAAGTAAAGAGTTACATAAAAAGTATCCCATTATATCGTATGGAATTTATCCAGAGGAAGCTTGCAAGGATGTTTTTAAGGCAGATTGGTCATTATTTATAGATGCACTCATTTCCTTGTCTTTGGCAACTAAGGTTGCACCTCATCTTATTGAAGCACCAGCAGATATTCCATTCAATCGTAACACGATGCATTACTTTATCTCGTTGAGTCGTACTGGCCAGTTTAATGATGCTCTTCATCCTCATTCGATACACATAATCACAAGCATTAATACACCACACGTCTTTAGACAAGTAACAGTTACCAAGCATCTTTTAGAATTGCTGAAAGCTCCTAAGCTCATCCCATGTAAGTATTTCAACCGAACGATCATCAAAGATACATCTACTGGGACAACAATCACCATCGTGTCTCACAGCCCAGCTACCAGATTGGATTTGGATAAACCCAACAGTGAAGTGTGTGGGTGTATCGTTCGTGCATACAATAAAATTGCTGATACATGCAATGTTACTGTCAAATACAAGTTTGTCAAGTTGTGTGCCGATGAAAAAATCTCAGATGTTCAATCTATTCCGTCTTCCTCATATCGTATTCTACCAGATAATGAGCTTTGTGCTATAAGCAAAAAGCCTGAAAATGATGATAGTGTCCTACTGCAGGCATGGAATAAAGCACTGGTTGAGGTAATGTTATCAATATATTAATGAGATACAATAATTATTGTCCAACTATTTTTAGAATGAAATAAAAGATATTTCTAAACCAACTGGAGGTGAGCTTGTTAGATCTATTTAGGTGTGGTTAGTTATGTAAATAGTAATAAAAATAATATCATTAAAATGGTTTTCTTCCTTTTTCAGATATAAAAGCAACTGAGCTGGCAGATATAGCAGACAGGATTGCCTCTGTTGTACAAGAATATGATATGGATGTTCGTGAAGTTGCTAAAACACTTCTTGGTGAGGAAAACAAGGAAAAGTTTCAAGGACTAAAAAATGACAAGCGTGTAAATGGCCTAATCCTTTTATGGTATGAGAACCAGTTGAGTGTAAAAGGAGGTCAAGAACCAAGACGTGAATTTGCCAAAAAGTTATTCAATCTAGGAGAGAATCTTATTGCCAACACTATTGCTAAGCTGAGCATTGATAAGCAAGCAGAGTTTAAAAAAACAGTAAAAAGCAAGTTTGAGAATATGGCACAAGAATTGGATGCCTACTATTATCACTACTAATTAAATTGCCTTGCAACCACATACTGGGTATGATAGTAGATAGAAAGATTAAATTTATAGTATTATTTTATTACATTAATAGCTAGACTTTTATACATTTTATATTTTACCTCACACTATTCTTGCTCATAACTACATGTATTAGACAGTTCTAAAAATTATTTTTCTTCTAAAAAGTAAAAAATGCACAGCAAGATTCAGAATTAACAGCTCAGCAGCAATCAGCAATTTAGTTGTTTTTTTTCTTCCAGTCCACTCCTTCTAGATCCTTGGAGTCTTCTTTGGGGTAAAAAGTAGTTTTGCCACTATTATTAATCTATTAAAAATGTGTGCATCAGACATCATTTACTGCTAAAATGATCATAAATTGATTACCATGTCGCACACATATCTTTCAATGGCGGTAAGCCTTTCAGAAGGCATTGACATGACCCATATACCGTAGTATATGTAACTGTATACATAATGATTTGCATGAGTGTGCACCCAAAAACCATTCCCCTATTGGAATTATGAGCAGTAATGAACATTATAACTTATCTCATTTTACCTTTTTGTAATGCTTTTCAAATACACCATTTTCTACCTGTAAATCATGTTTCTCAAACACATCATTCTCTATTCCACATACAAAACATCTATCCTTCTGATCTTGTTCTATTCTTGCCTATGAATTATTATAGTATAGAGCTGCATAGTTTTTGTGCCAGATTAAGAGCATACCATTTCATTATTGAGTTTGCTAAAACCATCATTAAAAATACCAATAGCAATAGGCAGGATAATAAGAGTAATAATCAAATAATACGAGACATCAATTATTGCCCTCCAGGCAAAGATGGTAAAGTCAGGACCAGGTTGATTGACATAGGTGGATGGTATAGACTAAAAATTGATTACATTGTGTATAGATAGTAGTAAAATACTTACTCCTCCAAAGGAACTGAACAAACCAACTCTTAAAACAGTGATATAACATTCAAATAATGAATCACAGAAAAGATTCTGATTCACATTGAAGAAGCTATAAAGGAAAGTGAAAGAGATGATAGCATAAATCCAGAGAAGTGCAAAGAGGACCAAAGTGAGCGAAAACAACTGTGATTCTAAATAAAACAAAAAATTATACATTGTTTTTAAATTTGTGTATTGGCTTACTCTTTATTTCCAGAGTTCTTTTTACATTTTGTAACTGAGGGAGTCTCATGAAAGTGTAAGGAATACAAATGCAGTACAAGTATCCAAAACTTATTGATGAAGCAGCCAAGATAGAGCATAGGACAAATATCAAGCAGTAGAGAGTGCCAAAAGACAACAAATTAAATTCATAGCATTTAGTGTAGCTCTCATATGTAAAAAATGTCTCTTCCTTGTGCGACTGTTTTCTCATCCATCTATAGAAATATCTGAGGTGCTTCTTGACCCACATTTCCGACTCAAAGCTAAGAGAGAAAGTAAGTGTACATGATGCTGTACATTAATTATGCTTTACCGAAAATTCTTTAAGCCAAAAGGTATCACAATAAAGTTTTTCTTCTGAGTAATGAAATACTGAGCTATCATCCATAAACTCAGCAATGAATGAGGAATGGTGAAGACATGTCGCCAGTAAAAGTAAGATGCTAAACGCAAGTTTGGTTTTGTGATGATTACAATTGAAGAATTGGCCCCTTGTTTGTCAATGACACTATTAACAATAGTGGAAAGATAAGAATAATGTGATGTATACTGCACATACCTGTCTGGAATGATATACAGTGATAAAATAAGCAGATTTAATACAATAGTTAATAGTATTAGTAGAAACTGAAACACTTCACTGAAGCTATATAAGTTTAAGCATAAAAACACATGGAGAGCAAATTCACACTTACAATCCAAACAGCAATTCAAATAATATTGGTATTTTCTTCAATTTAGACTGTAAGCATTGGTTATATTTGAAAGAGTATAAGTTATGTAATTAACCTTGTAAGTGAAGTTCCTGTGTGCAGATCTTGTCCAAAGGATGAGGTTCTTTTGCCTGTCTTCAATATCTTCTCGGTTAACGTTACGTCTGAAAATATCTTTT